GGACCTTGTGACATTCCCAGTTTTTGTTGTCTTTAACCTTCATGCCTGACCTGTTACCAAGCCAGTGTCTTAGCTCAGAAGAGGATATGTATTAAGGGTAGGAGCCAAGTGGGAATCACCACAAGTACTAGAGGGCTCCTAGTGACTTGGCATGCTGTTATACCAGATCTAGCCACAGGATTCAGGGTTATATGTATCCTGCATCAAACTCAGCCCCCACTTCCCATGGAATCCTCAAGAAAAGCAATGTGGGAAAAACAGAGAATAAAGCAAATGTGTTTTATCATTAGCTAGATGGCTGGCCTGAATTCCAATGAGGAAACATGATAATCAGACTCAAGGTAGGTCTATCCCATACCCTTTTCTCCTTCATACACTCCCCAAAATCTTGGGATATGAGATCCTCTGGATAACAGGGAAGGGACAGAAGGGAAAGTCCCATAGCCAGCTATGGGTTGAATTAGCAACTCTCATGGAGACAATGACCTAAGAGGAAATGAACAGCACCCCACATGTGACTGAACTTTCAACACACTGCTATGTGGCAGGTGTGACCCAGTCTGTATCACAGAACAGGACCAGGCCTTTGCTCCTCCTCCTTCTGCTCCCTTTCCTCCTCCACGTCTTTAATAAGTGCCAACTTCTACAAAGTCTGCATCAGACAAGGGAGTGGCAGCTCAGCAGATTCTGAAGCAGGAGATAGGGTTGGCTTGACCACTTGCCTGCTTCGGGCTGGGAGTCATCTGCCCTTTCTTCATTCACTCGTTTTAAAATGGGAATGATCATGCCAATCTCACAGGGGCATTAGACAGAATAGATTAATATGCAGAATAATAATAACAAGACATACTATCACACCGTTGGATGCATCCAGCAATAATTTACTGAATCCAAAACCTAATAAAAGCTTGAAAATAAAAATGTGTGACAATCAAATTCATAGCTCTGTGTTACCTAATTGTTTCTAGATTTTCTGTATTTTATCTCCTCTGAGTCATGTAAAAAAACTAAGATATGAAAGGAACTGCCTAGCTCTCATCCCCAAACTATGCAGTAATGGGCAACACTGCCGTAACACTGCCTTGTTCAACACCGGATGCCAGTGTCTGTCATTGTGCTGGGCACACTGTAGGAGCTGGGGAGACAGGCACTGAGTGAGAAATATGTAGTTAAGAATAAAAGTAAATCTGAGCCCCTAATCAAACATTTACTCCACATCAGGTGCCATCTGGGTATCTTAAGAGTGTTAAGACCTAACCGTTCCAAACCCTTAGGTTTCCTCTGTAGAACTGTGCAAAACAAGGCTCAGAGAAGTTAACACCCTGCCCAGGACCACACTGAGGGAACATTCCCCTCCAGGTGAAATCCCAATTCTGCATCTGCTCTATTAACTTAGAGACTTGAAGGAGCACTCTGAGGCCCACTTGACCTCCAAGTCAAGCTGAAGAGTGCTCAACTCTTCTACTCCTTGAAGGAGTGCTTTGAACAATAAGCAGCCAACTAAGTCCTATCCCACTACATTCTACATGTTCTTAGCTTCATAAGGCACGGCACCAACACACCATACTTCTCTCTGCCTGTGATTTACTGAACTGGTTCTTCAGCTATCTTAAGGAGGCATATTTTAAAGAGAGGAGAGAAGCAGACCACTGAAGCAATATAAGTATGTCTTCCTCAAACAGCGCAAAATGTATATTTGAGAAAATGCCTCGAATTCATATTAGTGAACAAGTGAGGGCTGAGAGGAATCTGCCTTCAAAATATCAAGGGCACATAAAATATAAGCTAGAAGTAAACCCCTTACATAATGCTCAGGACAAATCAAAAAAACTACCAGAGTTCAGAAGGAACTGGTACATCCTGGAGGAGACAAGTTCACACACCTGGCAATGTTATCCCTGTGCCCTAAGGACAAAAGGAAAGCCACCGCTGGCTCACAGCAGGTGGGAGCCAAATGCACACACACCTTCCCAGCTTCTAAGCTGGAAGCTGAAATTTTGCTGTGGAAGACATATTTATAACACAGAGACTGGCAAACAGACTGCTACATATTGGGTCTCCTTCCCTACTCTCCAAGAGAGGCAGTGATTAAATGTTCACCATGCCGGAGGTTTAGCTCAGTGGTGCAGCCACCTGCCTCGCAAGCACAAGGACCTAAATTCAATCCCTGGTACAAAAAAAAAAAAAATGTTTACCAGCATAGTACTGGTAGAAGCCAGGGAGCTTCCCATGATGTGGACAGACCTATGGCACTATTCTTTATAAACCTACATAGACAGTGCCGGGGATTTAGCTCAGTGCTTCCACCACCTGCCTTGCAACTGCAAGGACCTGAGCTCAATCCACAATATCAAAAAAACAAACAAACAAACAAAAACAAAAAATCACCTACATAGACAGAGATGTGGATCTAGGAAAGTCTCTCCATTTTTAGGTTTTCATGACAGTATTGTGCACTGACCTTTTTCCCAGAAGCCCTGTGACATGGTGGTAGCAGTATTTTCTAGCAATTGGTGGCTTTGCACATATCACAGTGTGACAATGTTAATCATGGCTGACAGATTAATTCTGCCCTGGTTTGAGGAGACTGCAACATCATTTTGAGAAAATTATTTGATTCATGACTTTTTATTACATCATCTTAACACTCCTGCATATTTCTGTGTAATTTTAAGAAAGTATAAAGTCTCATGAAGATGTTCTATAGGGAGTGAGTTGAAGAAAAAAAAACAAGTGGAGATGGGGACAATTACTCAAATTAATCAAAAGAAGATATAATGCATTTTCAAACAATTTAATCCAGTTCCACATTCTCCCTCTGTTCTCCTTGTTTCTCCCAAATATAGAACAGGGAGAGCTCTGTGCTTTTGAGACTACCGTACTGTATTCATATTCAGACATTCAGTTGGCTCTCTGACTACAGACACTTTTCTCTTGCCAAAATACAATGTGCAGTGTCTCTGAAGGACCAAGAGACAGCTGCCTCCTTCTTCAACATGTGGAAAGGATATAAGGTGACCAGACATACCCCTGCAAAGATTAAATATAAAACCCAGATTTGGCAGGAAATGCCAACTGACTACAGGGAATCTTAAAAAGTAATAGAAAACTTAGGGTATGAAGTAGTTCAACCTCAGCACATTTTCTGCAAGGCAATGATGAAAGTTTGGAAGTACAGAGCAATGATGGTACTGTCAATCAGACTCACATCCATCCCAGCAGCCACAGTCAGTGCTGTTTCCTGCCAACCCAGTCTAAGCATGTGAATGTGAAAACAAAACTCTGGTTTTCCACTCTGGTTATGTACAGTGACTCTGGACCAGTGGTGGCTAACCTATGGCACACGTGTTATTTATTTTTCTTTTAAAACAAAAGATGTTAATGCATGAGTTGTTTTTTCTAAACTAAAACCTCAGTATTCAGGTTTAATTGCAGTGTTGGCACTCTGTGGTTAATAAATGGGTTTGGGGTTGAAGTCTGGGCACTCGGTCTCTAAAAGGATCACTATCACTGCTGCAGACTAATTCTTTCTCCTCTCTGATTCTGGGACAAGAAGGTTATCAAAAAGAATAAACTGGGGGCTAGAGGTATGGCCTAGCAGGTACGAGACCCTGGGCTCAATTCCCCAGCACCAGGGGTGGGGGGAAGTAATGGCCCCAGAAATCTCAGATTTTCCAGGAAAAAAAAAATACAAATCTAGAGATAAAAAAGTATTGCATGCCATATATTTGAGCATTCTCACATTGCAACCACTCTACTATCCCAGCAGATGGCTGCTCTGAGTGAGCTCCATCCTACAGGTGAAGGGATTAAGAAGGAAACATCAGATAACCTGCCCAACATGGCTCAGCTAAAGAAAAAGAAGGAAAATGCAAGCCACCACATCATCCTGCTCCCTGACTCCATAAAACTGCCACTGAAGAAAATGAAAAGCACATGCTCTCCAATACCTCAGATGGATGGCTTTGAAATGATCCTGAGATTTCTAAGCTGCTCGTCTATTTCTGTACACAGGCTCTGTCACTCAAAGTGCTGAAGGATACAGTCAATTAACTTGTTTTACATTAAGATGCATCTCATGGCCATAATAGCAAGCAGGGGTTCATGCCAACTTAGACAACCAAACCTCCTCAGCGGCAGCAGGGCTCACGACCTACATCTCTGTTTGGCAGGGACAGGTTTCTAAAACCATCTTCAGCCTCAAATAGTCCACAGGACTTGGAGTAGCAACTACTGTGCTGCATGCTGCAATCATTCGTAGTTGAACTAGCAAAGTGCAGATCTAAATACAGCAGAATTTCTCTGTATGGTAACAGCACCAGAGCTAAAACTTCTCAAGTGAGAAGGTGTGACTATGAATTGAAAAAAGCAGCAAAAAAAAAGAAAGAAAGAAACCAACAAACTTGTCAATAATGTCAAAAGTTTTCATCATTCTCATTCTCATTAGTTTCAATGTTCTAAAATATTTTTCCTTTTTTAGAATGAATAGGTTCAGGTAATCTCCCTACTCAATAATTTTAGATGACCCAACAAGTTCATCTATAAATATGCTTACAATAATGTTAGTTAAAATTGCAAACAGAAAAATAACTCTAAAAACCCTACAACATCAGTAACAGAACCGTTAAAGTACTTGTACTCAATGCTGTATTACAAAAAGGTCTTAGAAATTATAATTAGGAAGATGTTAAATCAAAGAAAAACAAAGCGTTCCTGTCAGTCAGTGGTGAGTAAAGAGAAGACCCTGAACTTTCCTCTGCAAATGTTAGGTATGGTCAGAGAGGAGGGCAATACCGCTAAGCCAACACTGTCGGGCACAGTAGGATCTGTGGGTAAATTTCTATTGCTCATTTCCGATTTCCACTTGCCCTAATTGTTATAACAATATTATAATGTGACGCAGGCAATGAGCAGTGTTGGCAGACCATAATGAGGATGAAGAACTAATGAAGCTGTGTGTCCACAGATCCGAACTGCACAGAGACGCGGCCCTCGCCTACCTTGCTGGATGAGCGCTTCAGCTGCCAGCTCCACGCTGCCCACATTGGCGTACTCCTCGCTGGGGTGTTTCCGGTTGTAGTGCCTCTTCAGGGACCCCGAGATGTTGCAGGAGTAATGGCAGTGAGCGCAGCGGAAGGGCTGTGAGGACAGGGTGAGGAGAGGTGAGCCCCAGGGAATGAGGGCACAGTTTCCTGACCACCTCCCTCTACCACTTGGCCCCTACTGAGCATCTGCCGGCCGAAAGGCTGTGATGAGCAGGCCTATCCCTTGTGGGATGCCTGGGAAGGCTCTGGCCTCAGGGATGGTGAATTCTGCCTCTGTGACCCACCAATGACCAGACAAGGGACTGCTCTTTGCTAAACGAGTTTGCTATTGTTATTTCGTTTTTGCTGTTGTTGTTGTTTTTCTTTTTTGGCCCACCCCAAATTTACAGTTCTTGTTTAAGAAGAAGGTATGAAAAAATACATTATGTGAGAGGAGTCTAATGTGGCTAAACAAAGGTGGAGTCATGTCTGAGAGACTCAGAGAAGATCAATTCAAAACATAGGTAACTGGAGGAAGGGGAAGGACATAAACCTGATACAAAAATTCAATTTGAAAGAAGATATTTGTAGATCAAATGAAACACATACACAAGAGTTTAAAAGCATCAAAACAGTCCAACAGCATGACCTCAGTCCAAACACAACAAGGAATGGAGCTTTTTTTTTTGGTATCTGGGACTGAAAAAACCCAACAAAGGAACTGCCCTTTTGAGAAGTTTTCAAACTGCTGGTGGGATCCTTGAACTGTGGTAGTCAAGCCTCACAGGACAGACTTGGGGTGTCTGGGCCCTTCACTTTATCGTTCCCTCTCCAAATAGAAAACACTGCAGCCTGGCATAATTTTTCCTGGCACACACCAGGGGCCAGTGATCAGGGAACTGCTCCCTCTCCCCCACCCGCCTATTCCTTCTCAGACTCTGAGTGGAAAAATACAATCACTGCCTGTGTTGGGAGTCTTCAATATTGGACCCAGAGCACACCTGAGTCATCACTGGGAGCCTGCAGTTTCTCCCATGCCAAGAAGACATTCATCTGGCACACAGAGCTAACACTGGTCCAGTCTGAGTCCATATTCAGCACCCTGGGCTCACTGGAGCCTACAGGGAGTTCTCATGTCTCTGTGCTCCAATCCTAGACCTGCCAGAGTCTCTGACATCTAATGTCAGCCCCCAGGGGACCAGGGTTTCACAAGTTTTTTCAAGCACCCTGGGAAGAGCAGAGTCTCCACCCTGCTTTCAGCCAGAGCCCTGGAAGTCCCTGCCTGACACCATAGGCCAGTCCTCTGCCTGATTAAGCAGCAAGAGTCAATGGCTGCCTGTTCTGCCCAGTACTCTGGACACCAATGAGACATGACCCAGCGCTCTGCACCCTCACTGGGCTCACAGAAACCTGCCCAATTAGTCTTGGCAAGATCTGTTTATCTTTGGAGCATCCACAGGACTGAGAATCAGGTTTGGAGCCCATAGGAGCCTCCACATGACATCAGGAGCCTGTTCCACAGACACTGGACTGTACACCAGGTAACCAGCATCAGTCCCCTACCAAAAAGAATCCACAACAGGAGCAGCACAAACAAGGCCCACACCTTCCCTGGTCTGATTCCCCAGCTAGAACAGCTGCCATAAACAAGAGGCTATGAAGAGAGGTCCCCTGGAACTGAGCAATCTCAAGACAATCTCACAGACGATAGAGGGGGGCAAAGAGGAATGTGACTGGTAACATTAAAAACTACTAAATGCTCCTTTGGAAATACACAGGAATCTTTTCCTCTCTCTTTTATTTTCCCCCTTCATTATTGGTATTTTTCTCAACTATCTTTTTCTTCTAGTGGAGGCTGTAATTTTACATGTTCTTGTCCCTTTAATGTTACTTTGTTTCAATAGACTCTCCTTTTATTCTCTCTCTCTCCCCATTCTTTTCTCACTTTCTCTCTTTTACCTTGTTCCCTTAGTACTGTTTCTTATTTTCTTTTCCTTTAATCTCCACTCCATATTACTTGTCCTTTTCCTAAGTGATTGTCTATTACTGCTATCTAATACCTAATTTCCCTTTACTCCTTAACGGGGCCTCTTATATCAATCTAATCTTACCACATTCTTCACATCTACCACTGCTTTATTTTTCATAATCTATTTCTTTTCTCTTTCTTCTTCATACTACCACATCCATACATACCACTTACCCTTACGAATCCACAGGTCCTTAACCATCTCTTACCCCGGCTAAATACTGCTTCATGGTGAAAGAGGGTAAAATTGCTCTATTGAGGGGATATTTACTGTATATAATTTTCTGACTTGTTTTGGGTCTTGCTATCTAACTGTCAGCCTTGTACCTAGGGTTAAAAGTGACAAAGCAGTAGTTATTACAGTCTGTCACTTTCCAATTTGTGTTTGATACTATAATTACTGACTATACTAAGCTAGTCAAGGTGACATAGCTGTGGTGATGAATTGATCCTTCTTGTATGCCAATACCTAGGCTGTCTAGGGGCCATCAACAGTACTGCAGCCCAGTACCAAAGAACTGGGTGCTAGGTCAATTACACTGCAACCTTTCATCCCTGATAAAGAGAACAGGCAGGATCCTGGGACAGACTCAGAGGAACAGTCAGCAACACCTGTAAGACAGCTCTGAGAAGTAGCCATTACCCAAAGAAGTCTTGACATTAGTAATAAAACTACCTGCCATAAGCAACATACAAGCCTCAACATGGAAAACAAGCAAGCAAAAACAAAAAGAAAATGAGAAAACACAGAAGTAAGATGCCATGCAAAACACCCAATTCGCCCCAAGCAAGCCCAGAGAACAAGGAGGTGGAAGAACTCAAAAGCCACCTAGCTGACTTTTATGAAATGGTAGGAGCGGAAGTAATAACACAGATGAGTATGATCCTAGACAAACACAAAACAGAGATAATTAGATAGATAAATAAAGAGAGAATGACCATAATGAAGGACATGGTTAGTGAATCTAGAGTAGACACAGACAAAAAGTAGAGGAGCTTAGGGAAACCACAAATGTTCAATGTAGGAAAGAACAGGGTGGCATAAAACTGATACAAACAAGCACCTAGATTAAATACTGAAGTATTCATAGCAGAGTCAACCAATGTGAAGATACCAGATCTAGAAGACAGGGTGTGGTTGCTCATCATCAAATGAAACATTTCTTAAAAACAGCAAGAGATTAAAAAAAAAAACTAAAACTGTTGTACAGATTTAATGCAATCTCAATCAAAATACAAATGGAATACCTCACAGAACTAGAGACACAGGTGTAGGCAGACTTTATAGACAAAACCCTAATAGCACAGGAAATATTACAAAGAATCAAACAACTGGGATCTCATCTTATTAAAAATATTTTGTACAGCAAAAGAAATCACCAACAGAGTGAAGAAAAAGCCCACAAAATGGGAAAATTTTTTACCAGTTGTTCCTCAGACAAAGGACTAATATCAAGAATATAAAGGCCAGGGATTTAGCTCAGTAGTGCTGCTGCCTGCCTTGCAAGTGCTAGGACCCAAGTCAAAAACAAAACAAAACAGAATATATAAAGAATTTTTTTTAAATTAGACCCACCCCCAAGTTTAAAGACCCAATCAAAAAATGGGCATCCTAAATAGATACTCCTCGGATGAAAAAGTAAAAACGGCCACTACATACATGAAAAGATGTTCAGCATTGCTGGTCATTCAAGAAGTGAAAATTGAAACAACTCAGATTTCATTTCACTCTAGAAAGAATAGCTATCTTCAAGAAAACAACCAATAACAAATGCCAGCGGGGCTATGCAGAAGAAAAAATCCTCCTTCACTGTTGGCAAGGGTATAAACTTATACAACTACTATGGAAATCAGTACTGAGACTCCTCAAAAAACTAAAACTAGAGGCTCATTTGACCCAGCTATTTCCTTTCTAGGTAAGAATGAAAAGCATCATGCCATAGTAATATATGCACACAAATATTTATAGTATGATGCTACAATTAAGGGTGTGGGTGCCTCTCGCCCTAAGGGTGGGTGACCTGGATAAAATATACAGGGCAAAAAGATCTCCTGCTTGCTGCTTTGCCATTTCCTGCCTACGTGACATGGACTGTTTTTCCTCTGCCCTGTGCCACCCTGCTTTGGAGCCAGTTGGTTATAGACTGAAACCTCTACAAACTGTGAGCCAAATAAGCCTTTCCTCCTTTAACTTTGGGTGTTGGATTTTTTTGTCTCAGCAACAAGAAAAGTAATTCAGAAGGGGGTAGGAATTTAAAAAACAGAATGGAAAGAAAACAGTGGAGATTAAGTTTGGTAAATGGTGAAGTGAAGAAGGGCTGGAGGGAGGGGAGGGAATGGAAATAAAAAGAATGAAGATATATTATGTATGGCTACAAATTCTCTATGATGAATGTGATCATCAGGTATGGCAACATATATCAATGAAAATTAATTTTCAAAAAGAAATAAAAGAAAAACACAACTCAGTAAGGTATCATTTTTCTAAGTGAACGCCATGAGGATGGTTCCCAATACAACCAATTCTTAGTCCTGCTTCTTAATTAAATAGCTTCCTCTGCAGTATTTACCTGGAGCACCTGTGAGTGCATTATTAGCCACTGGGATGGCCTCACCCACAAAACCTACCCTAAACCCATGGGAAAAGTGAGGCATTTTCAGGGTAAAGACACGAATGGGCTCACAGCCCTGTCCTTCCAACACCTTGCTTCAGGAGACTGGTACAGAGAGGACGGGAAAGGGATGCCCAGTGGGGCTTCCTGGGGAGGTCTCTTGGAGAGACCTAGCTGTTGACTGCACAATGGATGTCACATCTCATGTTTTTACCCCGGCCAGGATGATACGATCCACACACTGTACAGTCCTAACAGGGTGCTACAGGGAGCCCCAATTCACACCCACATACATTTAAAAACAACAGGTTCTGTGCCCAGCAGGAGTGGAAGAAATGCACAGAGCAGCTCATGATGGCCCCAACATTCGGGGCGGTATGGTGTTTAGATGGAGCAAACTGAACCTCAACACTGGCCCTGGTCAACACTGGAACCTTCAGACCAATAGTGAAACTTCTATAGGCACTGATCTCA